CTGTCACTGAACCATTATCCTTAGCTCTCAGCCTCCTGAGTAGCTAGGATTATATAAGTGTGAAGAGTGTTGTTTTTGTTTGGTTGGGTTGGTTTTTTTTCATTGAGTGAGTTTTTTTTTTTCTTAACTCTTAACTTTCTAACAGGGTGTGGCCTGCCTGGGAGACATAGCACATGCTCCACTAGTTTAACCATCTCTCCCTTTTGATAACAATCAATATAGCTGGTCTTTGATCATTACAGATATATAGGTTTTAGCAAAGATTTATTTTAGTGTAACAGAATAAAGTAAGGAGGAATAGAAACAAAAAAAAAGAACCATCTCCTATTCCCCATGCAAGAAATTGGAGTTAAAGACTATGATATTTTTAATCAGACTGATAAAGCACCTTTACACATGCAAATGCCATAACCTTTTATATTTACCTGCCATTTATTCCTGATCCTGTTTTTTTCCCCTTCACAGAGCTGAGGTACATGCAACATGGCCTGGTTACCATGGCAATTATCTACACAGTATAGGTCATGCACAAATAATCCCCATGCAGGAAATGCCACATTTTATGATAGATCTTCCTGTCCTATTAACAACCATACTTTGAGGGTGGGCAAAATCTCAGACTCTCACTGCAGAGGAAACACACTTGTCATCTGAAAGAAACAGCATATCTTTTGATGCAACATGTCTTTAGTCCTCAACTACATGCTGTATTTTCCCAGCCATGAGGTTGGAGGGAGTTGTCCTGGAACACAGTAACAGAATATCTTCAAATAGGGGAAAGAATGTGATTCAATTTCCTTAAATTCTTTCAAGGCACAGGAACTAAATGGCCCAATTATACCAGGGTCTTCAAAGATCAGAAGCCTTGATTAAATGAATGATCAAAGACCAGAAGATACCACAGGATCAAGTAGAGCCACAGATGAACTGAACAGCCTACAATGCCTAGAGTTTAGAGCTTTCTTTCTAATTCTAGAGCATATAGCTTGCTTCATACCTAGAGAATGTGCACAAGTGGTAGAATGTCATTTCTCGAGATAGGTCAGTTATAAAAGGTTCCACCTTGCTAGGAGCGCCTCCTTCCTGGCTTGGTGAAATAAGGGGGTCCTTACCCTGGGAAAACGTGAGAATGCCTCTGGGCACTGAGGCAGACTCCAGGGCAGTCAAGTCCCAAACTGAAGAAATGAACATGGCCAACAGCTGAGAAAGCATACAGCTGAGACCTGAGCCCTGTTCAGCAACCTGACTGAACCTTAAGCCCAGGACCATAGACATGATCTGACTCCTTGACCCAAAGAAACTGGGAGAAAATAGATGAGTGGTTTTAAGCTTCAGCAATGAAAGACTCATGGTTTATTATATACTCATACATAAAATGTGAGTTTGCATTCTTTTCTCTCTTTAAGTCTTACGGAGTAAAACCAGCACCTCTTGAAACTGTCTTTTGTTGGTTAAGGCTGAATAATTGGAAAATAATTGTCTCTTTTTTGGAAAAAATGGGATATATCAAGTAGTTGTTATTTCATTTTCTAAGAAATTATCTTTCTAACTTGGGCCACATAGTGATAGGACTTAGAGGAGCTATAGAATATAATGAGGATGTACCTGTCTCCCAGTGCCCACCATCTAGTGCAGAAAGAGAAAGTAAACAACTATTAACAACTATCTCCACAACAAATATGGTATACCTACTGTGTGCTTTTCCCTCCTTCTAGGTATTCAGAGAGCACCAGGAAACAACAAGTGTGACCACTTGGAGATGCACTGTCCATGCTATGCCTGCCAACTGGTCTGGATCTCTTCTCCCATGAAGTGAAGAAATTCAAGGCAATGAAATCCCCATGATTGTGGCTGTGAGCTCCCCATTCAGACAAGGTTTGGAGGCTGGGCCTGAAGACTATCGGGCTTTCCTACACTGCCCAATCCGGAATAACAGGAGCATTCAAGTCAGGCTTTTCCTTTGGATGTCAACACTCAGTACCCATCTTAGGTAACAAGGTGGATGTTCTCAAAGAGTCTGTGAAGACAACACAGACACATCTGACTAGGTACTGCAGAAGGAAACAGGCAGAATGAATGAAGCCACCCTAATTTAAGCAATTTCACTAAATAAGCATCAAGAAGGAAAGAATGGGATCTTGGAGGCTTGTTGGCATGGCCCAGCCATGAAGACAGCTGGCCTATGAAGAGCTTCCACCTCCTTTCTCTTCCTCCTTTTGGCTGACAGGGATCTAATTTTACCTATGGTCTTCAGAAAAGTGCACCTGGCAGTTCTGCAGCTTTGTCTCTGCCACTGACAAGGTTTCAACATCCTCATAAACAAGGAACCTACTTATAGTTTAATCCTTCCCCCGGAACTCAGAGCTTATGGAAGAAGTGGGGTGCGGGGGAGGCGCCCTGCCGCTTTCCCTCTTAATTCCCACTCTAGGGCAGCCTGTTTAAAGTTGCTTGCATGGCACAGGTGACTGGCTATATCCCCAACAAATGCCTCCGATTAAGATCTGGATGTGAGTTCCTGATCCCAGTTATATGTGTACTCTTAATATAGCTACAGACAATTAAGAATACAACTGGCCATGACTCTAAAAATACCTAAGCAATGAGGCTTGTTGCTCTCACACTCTCTGGCCTTCTCACCAGCCTGAGTGTCCTCTCTCTCCAAAGTGAAAAAAAAGTTACCACCATATTATGTGATGAATAGAATTTTGACAATAATGAGGTTTTTCCATGTTCACTAAACCATTTTGTTCAATGGCAAATAACAACAGCAAAAAGGTTTTAAATTATTTTTTAACAGTAGAACCCTTCTCTTTTTTGGGGGGGGGGCCTGGTCATGGCGCCTCAACTCTGGGCCTGGGTGCTGTCCCTCAGCTCTTCAGCTCAAAGTTAGCACTCTACCACTTGAGCCACAGCACCACTTCTGGCTTTTTTCTTTTTGCTTATGTGGTGCTGAGGAACTGAATCCAGGGTCTCAGGCATGCAAGGCAAGTGCTCTACCACTGAGCCACCTTCCCAGCCGTAGAACCCTTCTTTCTATGTCCTATACTGAACCCCCAAACCAAATAAAAGATGCTTAATACACATAAATGGACATATTAAATTGAAACCCTTTTGTACAATTATCTAAACATTAAAAAAAAAGCAGCCAGACACCAGAAATTACCAGCAAGAAATCAAGAAGGGATGCAGTTAAGCATCATTAATTTCCAGAGACTCATCTAACATACTTGATCATGCAGAACATAAAACTGGATTGAAGCTGGGTGCCAGTGGCTCACACCTGAATTCCAATCAACTCAGGTTCAAAGTTCCAAAAGCAAAGTTCAAAGCCAGCCTAGACAATCTCTAACCAGCCAAAAGCCAGAAATAGAACCTGCAGAGCTGAAGTGGCTCAAGTGGTAGAGCACTAGAATAGGGTTAAGGGACAGCAGCCAATGCCCTGAGCTCAAACTCTATCAGTACTACCCTTTTCCCTCCACCCCCACAGAAAAAAGGAACCTAATAAAAGCTGGATGCCACTGGCTCACATCTGTAATCCTTGCTAGGCTAAGATATGAGGATCACAGTTCAAAGCCAGCCCAAGTAGGAAAGTCTGTGATACTCTTATCTTTAATTAACCACCAAAAAAGCCAAAAGTATGGAAGTGGCGCTGTAGCTCAAGTGGTAGAGCGCTCAGCTCGACTTGAGCTGAAGAGCTGAGGGACAGCGCCCAGGCCCAGAGTTCAAGCCCCACAACCGACAAAAAAAAAAAAAAAAAGCCAAAAGTAGAGTTGTGGCAAGTGGTAGAGTGCTATCCTTGAGCAAAAACAAAAAAAAAGTTCAGGGACAACACCCAGGATCTAAGTTCAAGCCTGAGAAACGGGGGACATCCCCCCCCAAAAAAAGCACAAGATAAAAACATAAAACCAGAAGTTATTTTTATTTGGAAGTAGGGGAGCAGGAAGGAGAGGTCTAGCAGCCTTGACCTCTCTCTACACTATACTCTGCCTCAACCTCTCAGGCCCTATGGAACAGACCACAGCAGATCAATGAAGCCTGAGACCCCCACCCTCCCAACCCCAGACAAGCTACTGTAAACATTTTAAATAAAACAAACTGAAGTTGCAGTAAGAAGTAAAGTCATTTAGCAGGAAGGAGGTTGTAACCGGGCCTTGACCTTGAGAAATACAAGGCTCCAGGAGTCAAAGGGGCAAGCTTAGCTAAAGCATTCCTGCCACCAGGAGCCAGAAGGACAGAGTGACATGGTACTGTCCAGGTATCTCCACAGGAAAAGAAGGGGAAATGGCTAATTTGCCACCAGAGTGTGGCCTGGTGACCAGGCCTCCAAGTAGAAGGCTTTCAAAGGAATGGAAGAAACACTGAAGAGAAAGAAAGACTTATGTTTCTGTTGGGATCATAACTGAAAAACTGAACAGCTCAGGTCTGAAAAGTAACAGCCTAGAAATTTTAAAGACAGGATACTAGGCGCCAGTAGCTCATGTCTGTAATCCTAGTTACTCAGTAGGCTGAGATCAGAGGATTGAGATTCAAAGCCGGCCTAGGCAGCAAAGTCCTTAGGACTCTTATGTCCAATTAATCATGCAAAAGCTGGAGGTAGAGCTGTAGTTCAAGTGGTAGAGCACCAGCCTCGAGTGAAAAAGCTGAGGCCCCCAGATGCACGCATGCGCTCTCTCTCTCTCTCTCTCTCTCTCTCTCTCTCACACACACACAGAGGAAACATTAGAAGTGTGATCCAGCTGGAGGAGCTGGAGTATTTATTTAGCATGCTTAGAAGGGCCCTAAGTTCCATCCCTAACATCACAGAAACAGAGGAGGAGAAGGAGGGGGAGGGGAAGGAAGGAAGGAAGGAGAAAGGTACAGGGAGAGACAGGAAAAAAAGGAAGGGGTGGAGGGATGGGAGAAAGAGAGGGACTTAGGGTGAAGTTGTCAGTTAAGTCAGGTTGAAATGAATAACATTTTAACACAGAAGATCTGCTGAGGTGATAAAGAATAGACTGTACCTGAAATAGACCCTGTGGACTCAACTTTCTCAAGGAGCTCTCTTCTCACTGAGAATCTGGGGTCTCAGCCAAGATTTCTCTGGAGGCTCCTATGGGGCTTCAAGCTCCTGGAAGGCAAAGAAATGCTGTCAGACATTACTGTTTGGGCCCCAGACCCTACAAGACTGGCTGGTAGAGAATGCAAGGAGAAGGCAAGAAGGTCAACAAAGAACCAGACACGTGGTGTGTCATGGGGACTTGAGGGAGAAGATGGGAAACTAGACCAGGTGACTTCCCAACCAGACCCCACCACTTCACATAGACATGTGGTCTCCCATTTCAAAAATAATGTGTGTTTCATACAATTACTACAAATCCAGTGCAGAGGGGGATCATATAAACTGCAGGTCCAGCTAGGGACCTTAGAGGAGCCCATACTCCATGAGAATTGAGAAGCCAGGCCTGCAGAGTTGAGACAGAAAATCTTGGCTGGTTTCTTCTGTCAAACTCCAGCTCACATGACTGGCCAACAGCAATGGAGCTCTCCATTATGAACTAGTTAACCAAGTGGCACAGCGGTTCCACCTGCCTGCAATACCACAGCATAATGATTAAACACAGGAACTGAGGCTGGGCAGTCCTACAAGCAATGAATGGATTTGGAGGTGGCCAAGGCCTAGAAGTGTCTGGTGTGGATGCAGCCCGAGGACATGCTTTTCCTAAGCCACCTTTGCTCTGTATTGCCATTTACTAGTGCTCACAGCTTCCACGAAGCTGCCTGAGCATGTGTGATCTGCACCTAGTGTGACCTCACAGGGGATTGGCATGCAGCCAAGAATGCATATAATGGCTGTTAATCCCAGCCAGAGTAAGTAACTGCAACAAGGACCAACACCTTCTGTACATCTGGTCTACACTGGTATTTCTTTCCTTCCCACTTTCAACTCTGAAAATGCCCAAACCTATATAAATGAAACTTTCATAAGTATTTAACATCTTGCCACATTTTGCTTTATCTTTCTTTAGAAAGTACTTTTCCCCCATGGGCTGGGAAGGTGGCTCAGTGGTAGAGCGCTTGCCTTGCAATGCATGAGGCCCTGGGTTCGATTTCCCCAGCACCACATAAGCAAAAAGAAAAAGGCCGGAAGTGGCGCTGTGGCTCAAGTGGTAGAGCGCTAGCCTTGAGCTGAAGAGCCGAGGGACAGCACCCAGGCCCAGAGTTCAGGCCCCACAACCGGACCCCCCCCCCAAAAAAAAAAAAGAAAGAAAGTACTTTTCCCTTGGCTACTCAGGAAGCTGAGATGGCAGTTCAAAGCCAGTCTGGGCAGAAAACTGAGAGTTGTCTTCAGTTAACCAGTTTAAAAAAAAAAATCTAGAAATGGAAGTATGGCTCAAACGGTAGAACACTTAGCCTTGAGTGAAAAAGCCAAGTGGCAGACTTATACAAACAAACAAACAAACAAAAAACCTGAGGGGAAGGGGGGAGAAAATGTCTTCCATAGGAACCATGTGATGAGTGAGCTCCAGCTGGTTTGACCTCTAAGTATCTAAATAAATACTCCTAAGAATGACACCATTCTGCATAACTGTAATGTCATTATCACACCAAAGAAACCAAGCTTTAATTCAGTAGTATCTAAATATGGTTCACACTGGGTGCTGGTGACTCATGGCTGTAAATCCTAGCTACTCAAGAGGCTGAGATCTAGGAATCAATTCTAAGCCAGCCCAGGAAAGAAAGTCCACGAGATTCCTATCTCCAATTAGCCACTAAAAAGCTGGAAAGTAGAGCTGTAGTTCAAATCAGCCTTGAGCAAAAAAGCTAAGCCACCAGGCCTTTAGTTCAAACCCTAGTAAAGTTCATACTCAAATGTCCCTAGTTATCAACATACTGCTACTTCTTGTACTGTGAGAACACTACAGGGGAAAAAAGAATTCACAGGGAGACTGGCCAGGTAGGTACCTTACGGGCATTCACATGCCAATCTCTGTGGTTGGTAAAAACAAAAGTAGCAGAAGACCCAGGACTGGCTTTGGCAATAAACTGTTGCTTGGAGAACAAATTTACAAAACATAGACAGGGTAAGTAAAGGAATGTTTAGAAGGGAAACTGGAAAGAGTCTGTATTCCTCAATCTGTGTGAGTGACAGTCATGACGATGGCCCCAGAGATGCCTACATCCTGTCACTATGTTTGACTGCAGAGAGAAGGAAGGTACTCATCAAGTGGCCTGGGTGCAGAGATTTCCCTAGGTGGGCCCAGGATGAATGGGATTGAAATGTAGTGTAAATGGATTCATTAGGATCAAGAATGTTCCAACCCACTTGCTCACATTTTCCACATTTGAACATTCCATTGTTAAACACAGAATAATGATGATGCCGCACCTTATACTTAAATTATTCATTCCCATTTCTTTATCAATATGGAAAGCAGCATTTTAACATGATCTTTTTGTAGCTCCCAGGAGCAAAGGGAACTGTGAGAGTGTAACCATGTGAGCACGGCAGACACACAGCACATGCCAAGCAAAGTGCATAAAAAATGGTAAATATCAGCCAGTTGCCGGTGGCTCACCCTGTAATCATAACTACTCAGGAGGCTGAGATCTGAGGATCACGGTTCAAAACCAGCCTGGGCAGGAAAGTCCATGAAACTTTTATCTCCAATAAACTACTGGAAAACCAGAAGTGGCGCTGTGGCTCAAGCGGTAGAGCTCTTGCCTTGAGCTGAAGAGCACAAGGACAGCACCCAAGCCCAGAGTTCAAGCCCCACGACTGACAAAAAAAAAAAAAAAAGGTAAATATCAACAAATTCCACTGACCAATCTTAAAAAGGAATCAGATCTGACCATTCAGTACAGATAGGACCCAGTAACACTGTCTTGACTGATTTTGCATCAATACTGGGGCTTGAAATCAAGGCCTGAGCACTAGCCACACTTCTGGTTTTTTGGTGGTTAAAATTTCCTGCCTGGGCTAGCTTCGAATTGATTCTCAGATCTCAGCCTCCTGAGTAACTAGAAATTACACAGGCATGCGCCACCAGCACCATGTATCCTCTTGGTTTATATTATAAAACATCAACAACTACTCTGGCAACTTACACCAACAGCTATCTTGCCTATTGTGAGAAAAAACTGTTTTTGATTTGGTTTGTTTTGTTTTTAAATCAAAGTGTGAGGCTTGAAAGTTTCTGCTTTGGCCTGGTGGCTTGACTCTTGAATGATTTTTAAAATATAAGATTTTGTCTTAAACTGGTTCTTTGCGAGATGGAATTAAGACAGACTTCAGACTCTTCAAGAAATAGAGAATGCAGGAATATTTTGAGATTACTTGTATACTGCAGTTGTTATTTCAAAGTCATCTTATGCAAATAGATTTTACCCTATTCAAGTTAGCCAATCATGAGCAGATTGTGAACCTGAGTTCAACCAATCTGAGCAGAGGGGCAGAGCCTGCTGCCATTGGGATAAAGCTCACCCAATCTGAGCAGAGGGGTGGAGACTGCTGAGTTCAGAGATGATAAATAGGGGAGCAGCCTGCTTGCTCTGTGTGCTTGCTTAACAGATTCATGACTAATGGCGCACCCTTTTGCAAAAGTAAATTTTGCCTTGCTGACACTTCTTTATTTTGGTATCTATTGTTGTGACTCCACTAGTTCTTGGAGAGTGTATTTATAACACTATGACTGAGTTATCATACTGTACATTCCACTGATAGATACTAAGTTTGGAGCACCATTCTAGCATTTGGGAATGAAGTGGTGGACTAAGTAGCTTACATGGCTGACTGGCAATAGCTCTTCAAAAACAAAAATGGATGAAATACTACTAACTGGAGAAACACTATCAGGAGACACATTCCTGAATTCTAAAGAAATTATGTGTTATAATAAGGAATAAGCCATAGGGAAAGAATCAGAACTGTCCCCTTAGACCTTGCGGGCAGTCTGGAGTTGCCCCTTCCTTTCCCAGTTAGAGCCTGAAGTAGGGACCCCATGCAGATTGCACTGAAATCTGAACTTGCTAAAGGCCTGACTGCTGACATGTTAAGATATGAGTGATTCTGACAAGGGTTTCTGGAACAGGAACTTGGGAGGGACGCCTCTCTCCTTCACCCTTCTGCTCTTGAAACACCAAAAGACCATGTGTCAAAGGTTTGGTTCCCACCCTATTGGCACAACTAAGATATACACTTTAAGAAAATACCCTAGTAAGCAGTCTTGTGGGTATTACAACCTCCCTCCCTTTCTCCCTAGCTCCTTATTGCTTCCTAGCCAGAGGTAAGCAGTTTTTCTCTGACATATCCTTCAATCATGATACCCTGCCTCTTCAGACACAAAGCAGTAGGGCCAACCAAGCATGGACTAAATCCTCCATAACTGTAAGCTAAACTAAGCCTTTCTCTTGCATTCCCTTGTAAGTGGATTACCTCTGGCATTTCGCTACAGTAAGGAAAAGCTGATACTTACTGCCTTTTAGATTTATCCAGTCTTTGTCACTAGATAGAATAGACTCAAAGGAGTGTATATGGATAAATCAGAAAGTGAAAGTCATTTACACATTTCCTTATTTCTGTAATTCTACCCCGCACCAGATATCTATCTTGCATTCCAATTTCTGCCTGACTTTCATAGCTTATACAGCTGTGGTTCAAGGCTCCACAGATGATATGAAAATAGATTTCAGTGCCCACTTGATAATGTCCCAATCTTACCTCTTTCCCTCATTTCTCGTACTTTGTTTTTCAGAGTGACATATTACTAGCTGATTAGCATATGTGTGACATCAGATAGTTGCCATTTGAGGGTAATCTACTTTCTAATATCCCTCGTGATTGATTCCACCTTTACTGAAAACCAATACCAACTAGTATCTAACCACATCCCAAAATGACAATAAAATGTAAATGTAAAAAAAATGTCTTTGAGAGACTACACAATCTATTCAGGCATTTGTGGCTCTACAGTATTTGGGAGTAGAAAGAAAGTGCAAGGTGTAAAGGAAATGTGGTCAAGGAAATAGCAGCAAGATATGTATCCTACTCTCAAACCTTCAATGATTAAAATTACCCTGAGCTACTTAGCTCAAATTCTGGTGAGTCATCTTTTAACGGGCAAAACACTC